CTGATCTGTCCTCTCCTGATCTGTCCTCTCCTGATCTGTCCTCTCCTGATCTGTCCTCTCCTGATCTGTCCTCTCCTGATCTGTCCTCTCCTGATCTGTCCTCTCCTGATCTGTCCTCTCCTGATCTGTCCTCTCCTGATCTGTCCTCTCCTGATCTGTCCTCTCCTGATCTGTCCTCTCCTGATCTGTCCTCTCCTGATCTGTCCTCTCCTGATCTGTCCTCTCCTGATCTGTCCTCTCCTGATCTGTCCTCTCCTGATCTGTCCTCTCCTGATCTGTCCTCTCCTGATCTGTCCTCTCCTGATCTGTCCTCTCCTGATCTGTCCTCTCCTGATCTGTCCTCTCCTGATCTGTCCTCTCCTGATCTGTCCTCTCCTGATCTGTCCTCTCCTGATCTGTCCTCTCCTGATCCCGTATCAATCTCCTCAGTCATTGATCAGTTATTGATTTTTTTCTCCCCAAATCCCAGTCCAATATTCCTGGTGTTGGTTCATGTTCGTTTTCTTCTCTGTTCCAGTGTTAGGAACTGATGTTCAGTTTTAATGATTGATTGATTTTTCTGGTCAGTAGTAAAAGCTGGGACTAATTAGTGTGTGTGTGTGTGTGTGTGTGTGTGTGTGTTGACTCAGAAACACTCACATCTCACAGGTGGAGCAGTGGTGGCAGCGGTCGGGTTTGATCAACTGACAGGAGTCACAGTAACGAACGGCTGTTTGGACAAAGAGTGGAGACAGTTTCACTGGTTTTAGTCGATGAGTTAGTTTGACAGTTCTAGTTCCTCTAACAGAGAACAGTTCAACACTTACATCATCATCATCATGAAAAAGAGGAAGAGGAGAATTACACAAACACTCTGTGTGTGTTAACATCTGAACCAGAGCAGCTCAGTCTGGAGGACTCAGTCTGGAGGACTCAGTCTGGAGGACTCAGTCTGGAGGACTCAGTCTGGAGGACTCAGTCTGGAGGACTCAGTCTGGAGGACTCAGTCTGGAGGACTCAGTCTGGAGGACTCAGTCTGGAGGACTCAGTCTCTCAGTCTGGA